TTTTTTTTTTTTTTTTTTTTGGTGGCTTTGGAAATTTCTGGAGTATTTGAGATTGCTTTGGATTTTAAAGTATCTAAAAATATTTGGACTTTTTTTAAGTGAAATTTTCTTTTAAAAATTCAGAGGAATTTCGAGTTCGTGTTTAATAGAGTATAGAATCTTAGAAGTCAAGTTAAACACATCTTTCAAATTTCTCTCTACGAAATTTCCAAGAAGGGGAAAGGAGAAACGAAAGAAGAGAAGGAAAACAAACGTGCGTTGAAGAAAGTAATTTTTGATTCACGAATGTGTTCCAGCGGAGCATACCGCGAAAGAATTCTCAGCGAAATCACACTTGGCTTTTAATCTTCCTTCGTGCTCTCTGACGACCGGAAATGGATTCCCCCGGCGCGAGACAACCTGGAATTTCTACGAGAGTGCGCGACATCCACCGCCTTCGCTTCAAATTAAACTGTATTAAAATACGAAGCCAGCGGAGGGGCCATTAATTCCTTCAGCCTGGCAATGCGTATAATAAATATCCGACCGAGTATTATCGTATCTAACGCGTCCCCACGAAATAACAAATCGCGACTATAAATTGCAAATTACTTCCATTCAGTTCCTTGCCAACTTCATGCAAAGAGAAGAACTCGTCGAGTGAATTTTTTTTTTATATTCGTACTACCGAAAACCAACAAGAAAATCTGCAAGATTATTTAGCTCGACGTGTAAAGAGAATTGCGAAATGAACGGAATTGGATTTTTTAATTATACTTCCTTGAGTTGTGTACGTGAAAATAAAAATTCCTATTGCAAATGAAATTTAAACGCGAATTTACTTAGTTCTTTGTTGATTTTGTAAGAGGAGAAATTGCCGAGTGTAATTTTTACCTGACTTTGTCAGCGGAGAGTCGACGCCCAAATTGTTTTAATTGCGACCGGAATTGGATTCATTTCGCGATTTTACGAACAAAAATTAATCTGTAAATTACTTCCGTTTACGCTTGTAAACGAAAAGCGTCGAACAGATTTTCGAAATGAAATTTGCAAATTACTTCTATTATACTTAAATAAATAAAGGAAATTGCCGACGAGATTCAATATCGCTTGTACTAAAAGTACAAAGTATAACGAGAAAGTACAAAGTACAACAATACGAGATGTTAACACGTAATTATTAAATAAATTTATTGCTAAATTACAATTATTAAATAAATTTATCGTAATTATTGAATAATTATTGAATAAATTTACTGCTAAATTACAATTATTTTTTTTTGCCAAATAATTATTAAAATACATCCGTGAAATTATTTACTCGTTTAAGTAAATCGTACGCTCAAATATGCTCCGAGCCCTCGATCAAGAAACTGCATGTATAAATACGTAAATCGTATAAATTACGAAAAACAACAGGAAGAACAATCGAGCGAACAACGAACGAACGAAATAACAGCAATAAGCCGAAATTTCAGCAACAGATTCCCGTCGATAACGATAATGGCCGCCCGGCTCGAAAATTAATCGAACGATAAAACCAAAAAACGGTAACATCGGCGCCTGAAAACGTATCGAATAAATTTCTCTGCAATGATCGTTACTACCATTTAATCATTACTGTGAATTGTTATTATTATTGGTGTAATTTCCCGTATCTGTAACAATTGAGAAGTACGTTTCTCGAGATTTATTCGAGTCTCAATTAAAAAAAAAAAAAAAATCGTACATCAATGTTCGAGGGTTCGTTGTAAAGGGGAGGTTTCAATCTTCGAATTCCGCTGTATTCCGTTCACGAAGAAAATTTGTTTCAACGTGTCTCTACGACACTGTGACGATTTATATAGAATTTCGGAGAAGAGAATGT